TAAATATGAAACAAGACCAGAGCTTTCAAAGCAAAAACTTTTTATTGTCGAGGTGTTAAAATGCTAATGGCTTATTTTTATGCAAGTAGCTTATATGAAGCATGGGACACTTGAGCAATTGCACTAGTGAGACAGCGGCATGAGCAGGGTCCCTGGCATACAGGTCTCTGGAAGAGGTGTTGTGCAACTGTCCACTGCTGCTGCTATTGTCTTTATTTATTTTTATTCTGACTTTAAATTGAGAACTCTGCCCTTGTTTTCTATGCAGCCTCCTTTTCCTTGACTAAAAAATTAGTATTTGATTAAATAACAACTGTTTTACTGTTTGTCACATTCAGTTTTATTTACCTTTATTAAATTTTCTGGTAGACAGTCTCTGATAAATCAAACAATTCAATAACACCTCTAACTGCCAACAGTTCTCTCACTGCTTATTTTAATGAGAAGTGTTCTTCACTCTGTTCTAGAAGATCTTCTGGAAAAAAGAAAAAACCCACAATACTGGTTTATATGTTTTTATTTACATAAAATATAATCTTTAATAAACTAGAGCTTTTATACTTCTTAATGATATGCCTTATGTAAACACTACCACAACCACCCTTGGAAGACCACAAAATATTATGAAGTAAACAGTAAACACAATGTGAGAGTAAATAAACCAAAAGGAAAGCAAAAAACCCAGCATGTTTGCTTCTCTCATCCTGGGAACCATTAATTCTGGTGAGATATTCTGGCTTTATTTTAACACATTAATTGGGGGAGAGGGTGAAAATAATTCATAGTAGAATTAGACTTACGAAAATTAGCTAAAAAGCCAAAACCAAATCATATTTACCTATTCCGGGGCAGCTTAACAATTAGGAAGTAACAGCACAGTGTTGAAGAGACCTTCTGGGGCATCAAGGGCATGCATGCACTGCACGAATCATAGAGGGGAAACAATGCTGCTCAGAGCACCTTGGTACGGATTGTCCAGACCCTGCAACGTCTACTCTCTTCCATTTAACATCTTGTGATTTTCCCCATTTTCATGCTTCCTAAGATGTACTGGCTTGCTGTTATAACACCAATTTTCAGTGAAACAGAAACAGCCGAGGAAGAATAGATTTTGATGGTAGCATTAAAAATAAGAATTACTGAAAAGAAAAACTTTTACAAGCTGTCTCTTTTTTTTGGTAAATAAAGCTGGCTTTTTTTTTTTTTTCTTTTTAAGTGATCTTTGCTTTCCAACATCAAATGATATTATCTGTCTTAATAATTTTCATTATAAAATGGTATATACTCATGTGCTAAAGAAAAAACCTTAAGCAGCAACATTTCAGGAACACCAGCATAATCTTTAATTATTTTTTAAATGAGTCCTAAGAAAAGAAGACATGATTGGTTTCCTCACAACTTCCTGTCCTTCCCAAGGTGCCTTGTAATTTAAACTAAAGTATTAAAAAACCTTTGTGAATTCCACACACTGAAAAATGAGACAATCCTCAGGAAGAAGGCTAAGGTACCCTGGCTGCATTAGCCTCAGTATCACCTGCAGGTCGAGAGAGGTGATCTTCCCCTCTACTCAGTGCTGGTGAGGCTGCAGCTGGAGTGCTGGGTCCAGTTCTGGGCTTCCCACTACAAGAGAAACATGGACATACTGGAGAGAGTGCAACAAAGGGCCACAAGGATGACAAAGGGACTGGAGCATCTCTCCTCAGAGAGCTGGGACTGTTCAATGCAGAGAAGGCTCAGGGGGATCTCATCAATGTACATAAGTACCTGACGGGAGGGTGCAAAGGCAACAAACCCAGGCTCTTTCCAGTAGTGCCCAGTGACAGAACAGAGGCAATGGGCACAACCTGAAACACAGGAGGTTCTGCTTGAACATCAGGAAACACCTTTTCACTGTGAGGGTGACCGAGCACTGGCATGGGTTGCCCAGGAAGGTTGTGGGGTCTCCACCCTTGGAGATACTCAAAAGCTGTCTGGACACGGTCCTGGGCAAGTGGCTCTAGGTGGCCCTGCCTGAGCAGGGGGTTGGACCATTTACCTCCAGAGGTGCCTTCCAGCCTCAACCATTCTGCGAGTCTCTGACATCACGAGCACCTACTGCAGTGTTAAATTTTTAACACTATGGAAAGAATCTAAGAGAAAAGGATCTCGAATAACCTTTAAGCACAGCTACTGAGATCTTACGTTTTCTCCTCTGACCAGCAGAGAATTGATGGCAGTTTCTGTGCAGAAGCAATAAAAGCAAGCTGAATCAAGTAGGCAGATAAAAATAAATTTACAGACACCTCTCATAAAATACCAATTTCCAAAAAAGTTTTAAAAAAGCTTATCAATTTCATGCTATTCTAAAGTATTTTCAACTTTATGAACTTTCATTAGCTTAAATTTATTCATTTTCTACCTTGTAAGAGATGTTTTAGAGGAAATAAATCTTTCAAGGAAGATTTAAAGGTACCTGATAAAATACATAAGTCATAACTGAATGACGTTATACAAAAACATGAACAAGATAACTGAAACGTGATAACTAGAATATGGGCAGTAAATGCTTCCTCCATTTACATTTCACTTCTACATCTGTGTTAGAGAGTTACAGGGAAAGAAAAAAAAGTGTTTTCTTTATATAAATAATGATCTTTACCCACATGATCACACATCAGAGCCAAGTGTATTTAATTCCCTTGTGAATATCCTCAAGTCAACCTTCCTTCGCCAGCCTGCAGAACAGAGCAATTGTCTCATCTTGCACCTTTTCCTTCAAACTTGAGTGCTTTTGTTGGCGATTGCTGTGGGTTTGACTTGCACTGCATTACCAGCAGCAAGCAGCTGAGTCATTTTCTGTTTGTAACGCTACAGAATGCGCCCACAGCAGTACCCCTGTGAAAAGAAAATCAACAGCTAAATAGAAGTGTAAAAAGTAACTCACCTGTCACTAGCAATTAGACACAAAGAGCCAGAAAACCCAGAATTGTTCCATGAACTAGCTCTACAGCTAAAAATAAGCGCTGCCAAAACGACCCACTTGCAACAAGAGCAGAGAAACCTACTTTTGATGGACTACAAATACTAGAAGCTGAAAAGACTGTTTTTCAGCAAAAACTATTAATATTTTTAAAACGATACTTTTGTGAATGTTGATGGTCTGTGCGTATTGCTCCCTCTAGTGTAAAAAATACAAAATCACAATCAACAAACTGAAAAAAAAATCACTGAGTTTGGTAACAAACTGTTTTTTAGAAGCCAGTCACTCTCTATCCACATTTGTATTAAAATGTGATTAGGAGAAAAAAGACAAATTTTGACTTAGTTTCAGCTTCTGGTCCAGGATTTTCACACTTTATTATCAGGAAAAGATCATACCAGGATGGAGTAAAGAATATGCAAATCTACACCCTGTATTTACGGCTGTAATGCTACCCAAGAAACCAGTAAGCTAAAGTGTGGTGCTCTTTTCTTTTTTCCCTCCACTAAAACACTAATTTCCACTTTATGACTATGTTACAGTTATTAATAGTGTCACAAAACTTGGTCTGAAAAATGGAGCAAAGCCCATTGTGATATGCACATGTTCATCTCACCACTGCACCTGGTTAGGCCCTAGAACTTGGAAACAAAGCAGTTTTGGAGCTTGGACTTCCTTTCCTAAACAGGTATGAAATTCCTTAAAAACACACAAGTTACACCGACGACTGACAAGTCTGAGAAATTATTTTAGACTTGAACCCCATCTGAGGAGCCACTGCATAACTTTCGACTTCAGCAGAGTAGTATGGTAACCACCGCAGCCACTGCCGCAACCTGCTGTCAGACAGCACCTGGGAGGAACTCCTGGGACAGTTTCCATCACATACACAAAAGAAAGAGAACACAGTCTTTCGTGCTAGTTTCATCCAAAGAATATGCAGTGTGGTTAGTTAAGATGCTTACCAGGCCTCTTTTGATCAGTAAAGTTTTCCAGCTCAGAATTCTCTTAGGTGCATACACACACCTGTAAGATCAAGGCAGCAAATTTATCTCCTCCAAGAACTGATGGAGCTGTCTCTGAACATAAAAGCCAGAAAATGAAACTTGGAAGTCTGAACAAAATTCAAACTAAAGCTTTCACCAAAGACATGATTAAACATTTTTTTTTACAGAATAATTAAATTAATGCTCTTCATTTTCAAAAAAGGAGCTCTTTTTCCCCCCTCCTGTGTTGCTACCATCAGAAGCAGATGAGAACTTGGGAAGCCTACTAATAAATCATTTTGCAACTGCATATGCTTTTTATTTTTTTTACTGGGACTTCATACTTTACAGATACCAAAACCGTTATCATACAAGTACCAAATTATCATCTTCCTACTCCTACTGTGACTGGAATTTCAGCCTTCCAAGATCTGACAGATCCAAAAAAACCCCGTTTTGTCTGTTTACCAGACTGAGGCTGTGAATCATTATCCAGTTTCACAGACACCAGATTTGAGTGTATTTGGTGGAACAAGTTTGAAATACAATTTGATGCAGGCTATTTTTTTGAAGACTCTTTTAACAGGCAGTCCTAACAGATCACAATCTCAATATTGCTCAAGTAAGCTACATTCCCTTCAAAGACGAGCATGGTTATATGGCAGATCCTTCAGGTAAACAACCAAATCTTCATTCTGTTTTTCTACTGGATGTAGCTGTTGTTTCTGTCACAGCAGTGCACCTCAGTGACAGTCCTTACAAGATACCTGCCCTCACTACTCCCCTTGACCTATGTTTACTGTAAAGGCTGAGAAAACTATTTGCTTCATCATTTGTGAAATTTATCCAACAAATCTTGTCATTATTAGAGTCCATTACATGTAACTGGTCTCAGCTAGTGTAGCATAACTGGAATATCCACCAGGCAGAGGGCTCAGTAAGGATGTTACTGCATGCCACAGCAAGAAAACAATCAGGTTCTTGAACTAGCGCCTCTGCAACAAGCGCATTCAGAGTACGAAAATGGGCACTACAGCAAAATCTCAGGGGCTAAATTCAGGACAAAATTAACAGTTGAGAAAGAAATTTTATTTCAAGCTCTAAGGGGGTATTACAAACAATAGAGAATAAAAACATTAAAAACTATTTAAAAAGTAATTGTCCCTTTAAAATAAAGATTCAAGCAGGTTTAACAATGAAGTATGCTATTCAATGAAGTTTTAAAAAAAAGATTTTAAAAGTATTGGTTTTGCTGTATTTGCTAATCTTTTATAAAAAAGCTGGGCATAAATACTTCGTGCATTCATATGCAATATTTGGTGTTTCATATTATATAACTTGGTACAGTATTTAAGATATCACTGCAAAAGAGTTCAAACACAGTGCATTTATAAATAATGGAGTCATTATAAATCACATTGCAAACATACCTTGCCATTTTCATTGTTACAAATTCAGTATCTCAGTGAAGGTAGGAATAAAGTAGCTACAACAATCAATATCTTGACTTTATTTTTTTTCTTTTTAATATAAAAATGCAGTTCTGGAAACCCACCCTCCTTCTTCCCCTTGCCCAAACATAATGCTTTACTTCTTAAAAATAAAAATAAAGTACTAATTCTATATACATCACATGTACCATACAAAAATGTATCCAAAGTTTCTATTGCTACTAAAGTGTTCTAAATTAAAAGTTACATAAGTCCCCTCGTTGGAAACAAAAGATTACAAGTTACAAAAAAAAAATCAAATTACACACAAACCATCAAGTTATTTTATACAATTTCCAATACATTTTTCTCCCAAAGCAAGTTGTCTTCTCATGTGCCTGTATAAAAATGCATATCAATATATTTGTCAATTTTTTCATTATAAAGCAAATTAATACATTTTCTACAATAAATAAGACACAGGGAGGCACACATATCAACAAAATTAAATCAATGGGAGATAAATGGGATATGGTTTTGAAAGAAATAATGTGCTTGCAGGCTTTAAGCCATGTTTGTTTAAAACAAAAGCAATCTTAAGTTATTTTGGGCAACAAAGGAGTGTTTTTGGTGATTTGCAAGTGATGTACATAGTATAATTTTTCCTGATGTCTTTCTCACAAAGTACCCTCCAAAATAATGCAACTTCCTTTCTTAAAATACATATCTGTAATTGTAAATTTACATCAATCTTAAATATGCGGTACTTTGTGCAAAGAGCAACAATTTACACAAACATTCAGAAGTCTTTTTCAGAAGCTACAGACCAAGGAAGAAATGATACAAGCAGCACCATATTGTATATGATTTAGGCAAACATATATTTGATGCCATTTTCATATTAGCCTTTAAAAACCACTAAACACCTTAAGCTGGAACAGGTGCTTAGGTAACATAACCTCAGAAAGAGTTAAAAAAAAAAGTAAAAAGCATGGAAACAAAAACCAACACCCTCCCCAGCAAAATTATAAAAGGAATTAAAGAACTACTTCTAAAATCAGAATAAGTTAAGTGTTGAATATACATTTATGTACAATTATGAACACTATGAACAAGACATTTTAACAGGCTTAGTGGAAAATCCTCCAAACTACAACACAATAAAATCATTAATCAATATGGCAATGGTGATTTAGAAGAACTTCTCAACTATTTCAAGTTTGCAGAACTCAGCCACTGAATCAACAATTAAGAGGTGGTATCTTCAATACATTCTTTTAGACAAAAATGTTCATTAGTAGAGTTCAAGTCTGCGTGGTATTTTTCATGCCTTGGTGGTATCTCTGCTAGTCAATATCACTGAAGTCACTGACTGGTTCTCCATGGACTCTACTAAGGTGATTCATAGCACGATCAAAAGCAATTCTTACTGCTTTTCGTATGCTTGAGTTACGGCCTTCCATCATTTTTAACTTGTCTATGGTCTCATCTATCCCAAGGGGAACCATTTTGGATTTGGGAAGCCACTGCCTGCAGGAAACAGTAAAATAAGTATGTTAAATATGGAACAAAATCAAGACATTTGACCAGAAATGTCAGGGTTGCTATGTTGTGTTTCTCATACACCAGATCAGATTTATCATCTTAAATATTAACCTTAAGATAGTACTTACTTGCCTTAAATATTTAGGAACAGGAAATATTAAGAAAGCCTCTTCCATGAAACAAAGAATACACTCCAATTCAATGATACTTATTTAATGATTGATATTAAGTATCAACTGAAAAAAATATCATGAAATATTGATGCAGGTTAGTTTAACAGGCAGCAGCAACTAACAATGAATGGGATTCAAGATTCACTCGACACAGCACTGTTTCTCTTCATTCTTTCATTTCCATTATTGCAAAGAATTTGCAGATGAACAATTTTTGCCTTACATTTAAGACATCGCAATTTGATTTTTATGAGGAAAGCTAAACTGCCAAGGAATTTCTACTTAGTATGCTTTTACCTTGCAGTATGAAATCCCACTAAATCTGTATTCAGAGTACTTTTCCATTTTAAGCTCCATGAATATCATTAATCGCTGGGCAGAGAGGAGTGGTAATGAATAAAGCTCTGGACCCCATTTTTCTAGTTAAAGTGTTCTAAAAATTTAAAGTATGAAGTAAATTTACTTCATTTCTACAAATGTTTATTTTAATCCTGTTTTCTTAACTCACAGGTCTTAAGGAAAACAAAAATGAGGTAAACTAATGAATACCTATTCAAGTATGTTACTATAGTCTGCAGTCCCAACCCTGCAAATGGTAGAAGCCATGCTTCTGTTTAGAAACTTCAGTTCAGGAGTCCACTTGGAGCTGAACAAACTGCAAATCAGACAGTAAAGTCTGATATAAAATATTTTCTTCATAGATTTTTTTTTTTAACTGAATAGAATTGTCTCCTGAAACATTCTTTTTTCTTAAAGCACTCTAAACTACAACCCCATTGTACTGAGCACACAGAATGAAGTAAAAAAAAAAGTAGAGTCAGTACAAGGATACAGACAAAACAGTAAAGCATATTATCCCCAATGACCAGCATGATAAGCAGCAGTCTAACTATTATCAGTTTTAATACAGATCAAAGGGAAGTTTTAAGAAGGCATTTTTAACAGAAAGCTTGCCAAGTCCTCCAGATGCAAGCAGCGAAGGAGAAGAAACAAATATGACTATTTGAAAAGGTAATCCGTAGGTGATAGAAGCTGGTAGCACAGACTGAAGATGACATATACCCTGCAAAGGAATGAAAATCAGAGACATGGGTTCAGGAGCAAAGAGACAAAAGTGAGCTAGAGTCATGAGTGCCAAAATGGCCAAAATAATCAGGATAAAAGAATGACTACCAAAAATAGTCTGAGGGTGGGGAGGAAGAGGGCTGGAAAAATATGTAGCCTTTCCTGTCCATCTAATACAGAGCATCTGTTAGAGGCAGTTTTGCATAACATTTCTGAGATTTAGGACCACCTGCATATGATGATGAATCAGGAAGGTTTAAGCTGCAGAGGACTCCCAAGACCAAGAAATCACAGCAATTATTCAGAAAGAGGCTAGAGTGTTCATTACACTTGTGATACCAATGAGAGAAAGGAGAAACAGAATACTGACTATGTTTTAATTTGGATGTTCTGCAGGAACAAAGGCAGAAGAATGCAGGATCTCAAGGAATCCTGTACAACTGAACAAAGATGATCAAGAAGTACCAACTAATTAACAAAAGAATCAAAGAACAGAGATAGCAAGCCAAAGATCCACGATTATGCCAAAGGCTCTATAGGGACAGAAAAGCAAACACCAGTTCTATATTTCAGGCAAATAGTTATTTGGGTGATACTATACTGGAACAGAGAGAGTGAGGGGAATGGCAGCATTTCTAGAAACCACATTTAATCATTTAAAGAGGAAAGTGATATCTGAAAGTGTAAGTAAATTCAAGAGTAAAATGGAGATATGGGAAGACTTGAAGCCAGTTTGACCTGCACGGAAACCCAGAGAGGAGAGGGATTAAGAAAAACACAGAAAAGAAATATACAACTAACTTGATGAAAGGAAGAAAGGTAGCTGAAAAGCTTCCATATCCGGCAAAAAAAAGAAAAACAAATCAAACCCAACCAAACAAAAATACAGAGAAGAGAAGAAGAAGAGAACTAGTGGAAGGGGAAGAGAATGTTTTATTGTGTGATTTATCCCTTCAGGCTCCACACAGTATATTGCTGACACTGAAAGAAATGGAAAAGGCAAGAATTCATGAAAAAATTTAGAAAGGGCTAAGAACTTCAAATGAGACGGTTAATAAAGCATTTAACTAGAGAGGGTAAAAATTTAAAGAAAATGCCCTTGAGCGGACTGGGGGGAAAAAGTGTTGTCATTTGGAATGCAATGATGAAGGCTGATAGAGATAAATACTACAGACTATTACCTTTAAAAAAATCTGTTTAGCCAAAGAAGCAATTTTATCAGGTCAATAAATTAATTCATCTTGTAAATAAAACCAAAAGACTATTTAACAACTTTATATTAATTTCTTCCAAACTGACCATAAGTAGCTTTCAGTGATGATATGCCTTGGTCCAAGAATAGACTCAAATATGAAACTTAACATTATAGTGATATCAATCAAAATATAATGTTTCAATTTTCTTTTAGACTGAAGGCACAGGCTTTTAAAATTTTAAGTCACTGCATCAAACAATACATTTCTATAACATACCAACTTCTTTTATTGTCAAAAAATAGTACTAAGAATAGTTTTTCATCTGATTTGGTCTGCATTTGTTCTCCAATTTTCAGTACATCCAGAGGTGGCACTGGTATAGTAACACCATTGTGATGGCCAGCAACACGAGGCATCTTAGGGTCAATAATCTACAAAAGAGAAGAAAGGACAGTTCCTAGTTTTTAAAACAACATCTTTTATTTTAAGGAGGTATTACAAATAAAATTAATGGGAAAAATACATAAACTAAATAATCACTGCATATAAACTGGCTTTGTGTTACACGTAACTTCTTGACAAAAGCTGAATAAACAGAGTGGAGGCACAGTAGTAAATTTAACTGAAAAAAACCACCTCTAGAACATTTTTCATCCCATCAGTTCTTCTTAAAGTCACATATCAATTTCATTAGTACAACTTCACAGACTGACAAGCAGGTTTCAGAATGAGAAAGTTGAACCAAGATTTCTAAAAGCAACTAGTCTTAACTGGCTTCAGATTTTGGGTTTTGAACTTTAGATACCTTAAAGAAACAACCTATGTTAAAGTATACATATCTACTTCTGCAAAGTAAATGCACCACATTCAAAATCTGAATAAAACATCCTCTACACAGGCAAAAAACCCCAAACAAAAAACCAAAATCAGAAGTTACTTTCAAATATCTTGCACATCCAATTTAATGACTCAGTTTACAGTTACAGTCACAAATTCTTTCTAAACAAAGGTTGGGGAGATGCTGCTAACATTAAACTAATCAGGCTGATAGAAAAATTCCTTTGTAGGCAGATCATAGCATTATCAAGTGTTCAGCTTCCGAAGAGTGCTTGTGTTACTCCATGCCTGTTCCACCCATCTCCTATCCTCCAAACTCCTGTCATTTTACTAGCATTCACACTGGCAGCAATCTTAATCAACAGTAAACTGAATATGGGAACTAAATCAACAGAAAGCTAACAATGTGGGGAGTTTGTAGGTATCAGGGAAGAACTTTCTTCTCTTGACTGAGGTTTAATTCCTCAATCAACTCATCACACACTCAGAGAAACACCAGTGCTGATGTAAAGGACTGGACAGAAAAGGAGTCCTTTGATGGGAAACACTCTTTATCAGGGAGTGTAGAGAGAGGACAAGGGTATAAGCTGAAAGAAGGCAGATTTAGACTAGATATTAGGAAGAAATTTTTCACTGTACGGGTAGTGAGACACTGAAACAGGTTGCCCAGGGAAGCTGTGGATGCCCCATCCCTGGAGGTGTTCAAGGTCAGGTTGGATGAGGCTTTGAGCACCCTGGTCTAGTGGAGGGTGTCCCTGCCCGTGTTAAGGAGGTTAGAACTCGATGATCTTTAAGGTCCTTTCCAACCCAAACCATTCTATGATTCTACGATTAGCTTAAATCTAACACTAAAGTGCTAACACCATTCAAGAGACAACAAAATAATCAAATTTTAAGACCCAGAAGTGTTCAGGTCACCCACTGAGGGCACTAAAACTCAAGTGCTCTGAATCTCACTCACCTCCACAGGTTTTAACCTGACTCTGTACGATTACATTTCCTGATCTACCCAGCACACATATAAAGTAGCAATGATTGTTCAGTCTATTATTTAGGTCAAGTCATTTTGTATGAACTGCTTCTCTAACCCCAGATGCCTGAAACGAAACACTATCAATATTTTCTTTGCAAGCTGCGTGTATTTCTCCTAAAGTAAGATGGGCACAACAGCTTCAAGTTTCCCGTACATCATTCACAACTGGATACAATAATTCAATTTATTCTGAATCTACCAAGTTTTTTATTTCTTTAATGAACTGCAGAATCAGAGAATCTTTATACTCATTTTGCAGCACAAAATATTTTATCATTGCAACACTTAACAAGATGTCTGTCAAACGCTTATTCAGTTGATCCTTTTAACAACAATATATATTGCAAAAACAAAGACTACCAAAACAAGTAGACCTTAAAAATGGGTAGGGTAGAAGAAATTATTGACTCAACATCTGATGTTTCAGTGATTTTACAAACTGGATGTATGGTGAAGAGGACAGAACAATCCACCTTAAAGTTGAATAAAGTTCACACACTAGACCAGAAAAGAGTATCACATTTCTCAGACCAGAAAGAGTATCACTAGTGTACTAATGTGAAGTTGTGTACTTACCAGAGCTGGGTAAGAGGGATATCCACTGCATTTGGCCCATACTACTTTTAGAGGCTCAAGAACAGATGTTGCAGCATCAGTTGAAATCCACATACTGCTATGCCCAACTTCTAAGAACAAATAGTTAAATATAAAATTACTATGTTAAAGACTGAAACCTCAGATGAATATTCTGCAGTTCTTAGTTTCCTCATCAATATTTCATGATCATTAGGATTCAAATACCAATACCACCTTTCATGCATATAGCAATAAAAAGCAGGTGATGTTCATAACAGCTCTTTAAATTATACTACTTCTTTATTTGTAGGCTTGGATTAAAGCAGAAGACACTTCTAGAAACAGCATAACTTAAAACACCTTAACTCTTAGAAAGCGTTTGCGAAATTCTAATAATCCTTTCCCTTTGAAAAAGCTCAAAAAAAAATATTTAAAATTATGCTACTCGAAATAACCACTTTCTTTTGAAACTACCAATCCTGTCAAAGAGATGATGGTATTGAAGATGTACACTGTTTCCAAAGTGTTGGATATAAGATAGTAAGATTAGCACCTGATAACTTACAATGCTTGTCTGGTACACCTTTCTATTCTTATGCATAAATTATAATCTGTATTTTAATTTCTATTTATTTATTTTTTCTCAGCTCTTTCTGTCAGCAAAGTTCAAAAAGACCAACAGGGTTCAAGGAAGCTGCTGCAATTGTGTATTTTTTTTTTCTTCTAAGGAAGCAGCATAACAGAAAACAGAGTTTATGTTACTGTTTGCTTCTAGCAAAATCCTCTGTTTATCTTCTCTGTTGCTGGCCACCGGATTGAAGCATGAGACAGGTTTAAGCCTTTCAGTCAACCAGAACAGCAGTTGGCCCCCTAGACACACAGGGATATGGTCAAGAGATTGGGCAGAAGACAGTGAGTTACCCCCTCAAGATGGAACTGGGGGTGGAAAAAAGTAGGAAGAAGGTCATGAAAGTTCACAAGCTCTAAACATGAGGAGGCACGTCTTACACAGGGAAATGTTGTAAAAAAAATACAGTTCAGAGGCTGCAGTTGCACTTTCTTTTAGCAGTAAGGCAATACTTGTTAGAAGTAGCGCTCTACTTGCCAAAACACAATTTATTCCTCAATTCTTCACAATCTGCTCCCCCTTAAAATGGACAATGCTTGTCCATAATGAAATGTGGCATGCAGATATATGTTCCCTCTCAACATCACAAAAAGCATTAGAAAAAAAGTGGTTTCAAATCTTGTAAGAGGAGAAATGGCAAGGAAAAAGTGCTTAAGGTGATTACAAAAAAAGTAAATCATTCTCCACAATATATTCTAGGTCAATTTTTAGACATAGGCTACTCATTCAATTATAACTTATTTTTAACCTATACTAGTATCAACATTTCAAGAAAATACTTCATTGGAAAGTATAACTTCAGATATTCACAACTACATAACATCAGTTATCAAAATGCAATAGTTTATAATAACTTGCCATCACTGCATAACAAAGACATTTGATATTTTTGAAGCTAGAAGTTGCTACAGGTTCTATTATAGGTGTGGATAATATCAGAAAAAGAAAAAAATGCAATTTTTCTCAGTGTCTTTAAGACCTCAAACAAGTCTCCTAAAGGAAACAGTGACCCTTGCCATGAATCCCAGCAGGCTTTACAGGAGATCTTTAATCACTGGATTCCATTACACAAAGCCATGAAAATAGTTTAAGTTGTACTTATACTATTTCTTACTGAACTACATAACCTTGGAAAAACAGTTACTACATCTATTTACTGGTTTATTTATTTGTTTCTTTCTGTGTATATTTTAGAGAGAGTTCATTTTACGACATTCTTCACTTTCTCATTAAAAGCCATAATAATATTCTTCATATTTATAAATATATAATATACTTACAGCCATTCTTACACTTCTAGAGTATAGCTGAATACATAAAATACTGAATATTATGGAAAGGCATGTTAAATTCAGATGAACCATTTTGGTAGTATCTCAAAATGAAACAATTGGAGCAATTGCTAAAAACAGAAAAAGCAATTTGGGCAACTTCCTTATTTCTCTGCTCTAGTAATACCAGTATGTTAAATATTCACACATCTGTTATAAAGAGTCGTGAAGGTTTAGATTAATGTATCCTTCATACACAGACTATTTTGAAAAAAATACACATAGAACTGTATCTGGTATGTAAAAAGTCCTCTTCTTCAGGGCAGCTAACACGAAAGAAAAGAAACTTAACATTATTCTCAACTGCAGAATTAATAGGAAACAAATAAAACTATAATTTAAAGCTGAGTAGAAGGTCATTCATACACAATCTGACAGGATGCATGCAGTCAGATTTCCTTAGAGACTTCTCAGGGGTATACACAGCAGGGAAAAGTCTCGGAATTTTTCCTAGTCAGAATTTATTCCATGCAGTTAATACACTAGCACATATGGTTAGTAGTTTTCTTTTACAACATAAAAAGCCCTTTATTTCCTTAAGCTACGAGAGACAATGAATTTAAGTTATCAGTCAGGACAAGGTACTGTTTAAGATTTTAAATAACAGCACTCCCACTAGCTGAAAATCAACAGTGAATAAATATCACAAAACAGACTTAAGATTCTACATAGTTTAGGGTAAAGGTATGGATGTCTCATTATACTTTCCTCCCTTTACAGATATTTTACTTCTTAAAATGTTTTTAAAGCAACGAGTGTTTTTTTAGTATCATTCTCATAATAAAGTCAATGTGTTTAATTTTTTGTGGGAAGCTGAGAAAAATAGCTATTAGGTGCCAGTGTCACAAGCCTCAAAACTTTAAAGCATTTCTGTCTTCAAAAACAGAGCTAGGAACTTCAAATCTAGTATCTGCATAGCTTTCAGCAAGGAATGCAAGCTCTTCAAAGGCCAATTTTATTTTAAACCATCAACTTCAGCCACAAACAGGAAAATTTATTTGACTAAAAGAGTGCAGTGTTGCTTTCTTCTTCTTTTTTTTTTTTTTTCCCTTACATAGAGGAAACTTGGATTTTAATACCTAAACCTGCAGACAAATCCACTGACACTGGGCATATTTAAGCTCCAAATCTACTGCCACCCAAGAAGCAGCTGTGCTATCAGCAGTGTAGATGGATCATCCTTTAGCCCAGATCACAAATTGAGACTTTCCTTTTACTGTGTAACTCGTGGCTGGACAAAGTGTTCTCTGTGCTGTCAATGTTACCTGTTGAAACCAGTATCAGGCAGAGGGGAAAGCTATTTGAGTCAAACACAGCAAAACATTCGCCCACAACCTGCCCCTGCCCACTCTTAGTCAGTGGCTTGATGTGACTGAAGGGAAAGACAGCATCTAGACGCTGCTGGAAAAAATACCATCACTAAGATTTACTGAGGAAAAAATATCTGACAAGAAGGTGGAACAACTGACTGGACAAAGACGTGGATAAAGAGGTGAAAACTGGAATAAAAAGCATGAGATAGTATGGAACAGGAGAGCTAGACAAGAATCCCGGATCAGGGAACAAGGAATAGCCAGGCAAAAGGACTGGGCAAAGCTCAGGAGGGACAGGCAGGAGAACACATTCCTACCTTTGTGCAGACATTTCCTGACACTATAAAGGAACCTAAGACCTACTAACCTCAGCATATCTCCGTATACAGCAGCTATTAATGAAAACCACTTTTAGCATGTGTCCATCTAGCACACCAGCGACAAGCTATTACATACAGATAATTCTATTTGGAAACCAAGAAAACCTTATTAAGCCTACAAGTTCAAACCGGAAAAGTTAGAATTCTGAGTCACTTTTGAAACTTTGATTCATCCTCTGTATTTATATCTCAATCTTCATATTTCAATATAGAACATATTTTCTAACATAGTCTTAACTTGCTCATTACACTCAGTGGACCTAGTTCTAAAGCTCACCTCAGTCTCACAAGTCAAAAATGCTGAACATGACAGCAGTATTACAGAAAACAGCATGCCCTAACTTGCACCCTTGGTTTTGTGATTTCAATAGCACCCTTGTAACATGCCTTGTGTTTGAACTAACATATTCCATTGTGCATGCATTACAATGATTACATCCATTAATGAATGCAAAACTGTATCCCATCATAACTGCTGTTATTACAACACATCACACCACAGGTTCTGAGACAGCATCTTGTAAACAGAAACAAGATATTCCTTGGACCCAAAGAGAACATAATTGTAAGCACTGTGTTTCTAAGGCATATGTACTCTGTCAAACAGAATTGAGACCTTTTGCCAAAATAAACAACCTTTTATTTCAGTTTCTTTGTGAAATCTGGGATTTTACTAATAAAAGCAAATAATGGTAAAGTTCCAGTTAGGTACAGAAGGTAAGCAGAACATTTCACTTCACTCCTACTTCTGTCCTCTTCTTGATCTGCTGAGGTAACAGTTTGCAGAAGGCAGCCAAAAGAGCTCAAATTAGACAGAATATATAATAATATTATTCTATTAATAT